CGGAGAGTTGAGAAGGGTGGAAGATGATAGGCAGGATGGGTGGTGGGGATGTGGGGAAGGTTGTACCAGAGGAGGAAATTTTGAGGGGTGAGTTGGATTGGGGGGGGAGGGGGGAGGGGAAGGGGAGGTGGGTTGGGGGTGTGTGGAGGGACCATTTTGCTCAAGGCCATGACTTGTACTATTCACGCAAGTGTTCTGTGGAATGCACCCTACTGAATCAAACTTCTGTCCCATTGTGTTAGGAAATATTTGTTTGCTGCCAGCTGCTCAATTGTAATGAAAATTATTGGTGGAAAATAGTTGTGTGTAGCGGAATCGATAGAATCGTTGTTGTGAAATCGCGCCGTCCGATCAGCCGAGTAGAATTGTCGAGACGTTGTCGGCTCCACCCTCGTGATAATTTATTCTAAGATATATTCGATTACATTACATATTCTCGCCTATTACTATGTCATCTCGACCAAAGCAGCTTCAGGGAGGAAGCCAGCATGAGGGAGGAAGTAAGTACGAAAGTTATTGTATCTGGAGTGCAGGTGTGGGGGATAGGACGAATGATGAAGGGAAGGGTAGTTGTAAAGGGTGGTGTAAGGCGAGAGCGTGATCAGTGGAGTCAGTGTGTGCCTTCACTTCAGGGGAATTTGCAGATGCCAACTGGGGACGTGATTGATGAGGACATTTTATTTGGAGGTAACATTAACGTTTAGGGAGTTACAAACTGGGGCGGCGCGTTCGGCTGAGAGGGGAGCTATTCATACACTATCGCCCGCTTACTGCCTCGTGTGTTGCTCTATGAACGAAGTCGTTTACATTGGCTTCGCGGTACCCTGGTAACTCTTTGCAAAACTGCTCGAATGTGCGTACAAGTGAGGCCATTTTGGTTACAGGGGTTTATAGGTTTTCACAAGGGGCCTGTAAAGGTCCTATGAGTACCATTCACTGACCCCACCAAGCCGAACTACGCTGAAATATTGATTCATGGATTCGAAATGACTAATCGATGTTTTTATTTCAGTTCTGGAGTTGTTGTACTGGCGTGACCCGAAGAAAAGTGGCTGTAGCTTTGTCGCAGATGAGCATTCTGCTGTCTTTATCCTTCGAAAGTGAAGTGTGCTTGAAATTCTCTTTTTTTCATTCCATGTGGAAATAAATTAATCGCCAAATGAAGCCTTAAGGTTGGCTAAAATCAAAAGAAAAGATTATATGTACAATTACACTCTCAAAAAGTTGTATGTAGTAGAGAAAAGCGAGAGAATCTACAAGAGAGCTACAGCTTTGTTTGCCGCGGATGAACGAGCGCGTTAGGGAGGGGAAGGGGGTGGTGTTAGGGGGGATGGGTTCTGTACTGCGACAACCCGCTTTTTTTCTTTTTTTTTCCTCTGGCAGGTATATGGTAGCAACACACTGTTCATACGTCCGTGGTCGCGATTGTTTTCCATCAGTTGTTGTCGCTCTCCCCTCGAACAAGTGGTGGAGAAGAAGGTGGCGGCGCGCAAAACCATGCCTCACTGACGCGCCCCATCATCCGCAGTAAAAATAAATGTTTTTCTGGCGCACAAGTTTCAGAGATTGCCGTTAAACCACATGCATGCTCAGACTCACATGCGGTGTCAGTAACACCCCCCGCTCACTCCCTTCCCCAACACAGAAGTTTCACATCTGCCACGGACCAGAATTTTCACATCTGCCACGGACCCTCCTTCCACATCCTACCTACAATATTCCTCGGACCCTCCTTCCACATCCTACCTACAATATTCCTAAATTTTCCAACTCCCTGCCACTACTCCTAGTCTCCAGTAATCCCAAATGAGCCCTGGCAGAACACATCGTACGTTGGGAATCTCCAGCTGGGAGGGTCCTATTAGTTGCTGGAGGGAGATCGGGTCATGTCTGGATTTGAGGAAAATGTTTCAGGTTGTTTGCTTTTCTAAAACTTCCTGTTTCGAGTGCGCTATATCCTTCCCAGATGATAGTTTTTGGGGTAAAAACTGTAGCAAGAGAGTTTTTCCGGAAAATGGTAGGAAGTATAAAGATAATAGGATGGTGAAGAAGGGATACTACTCGAAAAAGAATCTTTGTGGACGAGGGGGTTGTATCGTGTCAGAAGGTGCCTCCCTAGTCACGCACTAAAATCACACGAAACAGGGTGCCGGCTATGGAAATCTGCTAAAATTTTTCCAAATGGTACGCCCATTCCCGAAACAAAATGCAGGGTTTAACATGGGAATGTCGAGACGATCGGAATATAAAATTCGAAATATGCAGACGATCAATTTTGCTATTTTGAAGCGTTTTCACAAAACGAGCTGCCTGTGCCTCTGCTCAGGGGACGTATTAAGTTTGGAAAAGGTTTTCTCAGAATACTATCCCCAAACGTCCTCTGATATGATACAGCCTCGCGTCCCCCCTCCACCATCCTTCTTGCGCAGAGAGAGCGAGAGGTGAGGAGGTGGGAGGGCGTGATAAATGGGTTGTAGATAACAGCGCATTTGAAACAGCGGGGAAAACCGAGAAAAGTCAACAACCGAAAACATTTTCATGGAGGCAATTACGTTCCCCCCTCCAGCGAATAAATACGACCTCCCTTACTGGTTAACTTAGCGTGACGTGCCCTTCCTCTGCTACGCTTGGTATTACGCTTGCAAGCTGTTGTAAGGGATATTTTTCTCTATAATTTTCGATATTGTTGATTCTTCTTATCTTCATTTTTTCAATACACCATAACTTTGCTTTCCGAGATTCCTCTCTTACTGTTGCCAACAGTAATATTTTTTATGAACTTTCTGGGTCTTTCATTATTGACAGTTTAGGTTATTCCCGATTTTATCCGTGAGTTCAGGTACCCGATTTTATCCGTGCTTGCCTATACTGGTTTGGCAATTCTTGCTGGCACCGTTGGATTCCGCGTCTTCAAGACAGTTGAGGCTCAAGTGAAAAAGACCAACGGAGAGAATCCTTTCCAGTGAGTTTTCATGCCGACAGCATTATAACCATCATGCCGTCGTAGTATACCGTGCTCCGAGCAATCGGTTGAATTGATTTCAGGGAATATCTCGCCAAGGATCTGCAGTTGCCACAGGAGCGAATTCACGCTCAGGTGGACGTGCTCGCCGAACATGGTACAGCTCTTTTCAACCAGCTGAAGAGGCTTATCTTTGTCGAGAACATCGTCGACAGTGTCAAGGTGGGTTCGGGATACGAGTGAATGTTGCTGTAGTCGCTTTTCGTTCAATTTTTTTCCTTTTGAATTTCTCCTCCCTTGTAGGCGTTTGCATAACCCGTAGATGAGCAGGGCGTGGCTGCGTGCTTTATTTGAACATGGCGTGGGATGCGTCTTCCTAGGTATCATCGGGCTTGTGCGCAGACCATCATATCAATTGAACCACCTTCGACCACCACCACGGCTTACTTCATTCAGCTTGCGCATCAAGGAAGTTCCTACTCTGTTCCTAATTTGGTTCCCATCTATAATACTTTGTCTATTGAGCTCAGTGGACTTCCTGTCGCTAGGGAAAACCCTAACACCATCCCCTCCCTCTTCCAGTTTTCCTCCTCTGGTACGACAGTCATTTTCGAGTGATACACGCCACCTTCCTGAGTTTACCATTGGCTTTGCCCAACTTCCTACGTTTTTCCCGCACATGTGAAACTGGGGAGACGGGCAAGAGAATCCAATTTGCCGCTCCGCCGCGCGCGGCGATGGGCGCGGCGTTTTCTTAACTCGTGTTAACCTGTCGATTGGAGCACCGGACTTCATGTAGACCCCGTCATCGTAGACATTCATGACTATTTTCGGTTCTGAATTGCCTGTTGTCGCCATCTACTACCTGGAACCATCGTCATTTGCATTTGCGGCGTCGCACGCGACGCTCGCAGGCCGGCGAATTACGATTCTCTTGTCACGTACCCGTAAAACCAAAAAAAACCCCAGGGAAGTCAAAGTCATCACTCCAACAAGGGAAAAAATGTTCGAGGCCAGATATGACCTGCTCTCAAGGAGCGGAGCAAATACGCCCCCCCCTCCCCGAATAGGAATCTCTATCCCTGTGAAGAGTGCGGGTGGAACAAGAAAAATCAGCAATCGAAAAACTCTCTTACGCAAAATGCCTCTCCTCTTTCCTCCAGCGGTCAGATACAACCCTCGCTGAGGAATCCACGGTCAAAACTCTTTTATTGATTACATCCACGTCCCAACACCTACCGTCGGGATAAAGGGTGATGATGCTGAAGCCAAGAAATCGTATGAAGGAGGAGCTAAGTATCAACAGTTGTTATGAAACCCCTTTTTTACTTTATCAAGTGTTTTCAGTTTGCCTTGATCTTGTGGGCGTTGACGTACATCAGTTACTGGTTCTCTGGATTTGCCATGGTGATTTTGGGTGAGTACAAGTTCTGTTTCGTTCTTTTCAGTCTTGTTAATACTGCAATTGATTATCCAAAAAAAGTCACGGAAAGTATCCTTTTCCAGCTGTTCTTGGTGCGTTCTCAATTCCAAAGATCTATGAGATGTATCAGGAGCCGATTGACCAACATCTGGCAACGGCTTCAGAGCACATCAGCAAAGCCACGAAGATGTAAGTGCTGTAGTAGTTGTGATTCTCAGATGCTGTAAAAAATCATGAAAGTTGGTCCATGCGCGGGCTAAAACTGAATCACGAGCAGGGCACATCACTGGTTAGAGATTTTGGTCGAGTTCGTACGACTCCCGCCCTCCGTTCCTCTGTCCCTCCTCATCCAGTCGAGCCGTCGAGCGGGGGGGGTATATACTACGCATGAACATGAAACAGGAAAATCACGAAAAGTCAAATACCACTTCTAGAAGGCCAAAAATAAATACGCATCCCAACCAACACGAGCAGTGCAACCCCCCCCTTTTTACAACGTCGTGCAAGCAAAAAAAATCAGCTATCAAAATAAATTTTTCTCAGCCCGAGTACGACCCCCTCTCCTGGCTACCAAATACGACCCCCCTGTTGGGGATTCCCCAACAACGATGTGCCCTGATCGCAAGTTAAGGATAACGGCATCCGAAACTGCGCGTAAACTTGTGTGCTCTGTGCGTAGGACCAGGGAGAGGACACAGTGCCTTCAGCTTGCCCATAGACCCAGAGTGCAGTTAGGCTGCGTTTATACTTTGCGGCAGCGTAGCGTAGCGTAGCGCTTCCAGCGTACGCCAGCGGCAGTGCTGGGGAGAGGATGCATATCGATCTAGCGTTCCCAGCGTCACCAGCGCTAGCGTTTGCAGCGGCAGGGGAGTAGAGACTATGTGGCCGTAAGAGACGCGGAATCGACGTGTATTGTAGAGACTATGTGGCCGTCAGAGACGCGGAATCGACGTGTATTGTAGAGACTGAGGGCGAGTGAGAGACGCGCAATCGATGTGTTTTGTACCCTCCCAGCTCTCCCAATAGTCTTCTACTCCCTGCCGCTACAAACGCTAGCAAAACGCTGGTGAAACGCTGGAGAAACGCTGGATCGATATGCATCCTCTCCCCAGCACTGCCGCTGGCGTACGCTGAAGCGCTACGCTACGCTACGCTGCCGCAAAGTATAAACGCAGCCTTTAGGCCGAGCGCAGAGTTCGCCCGTCTCGCCTTCCCATCCTGATCCCGGAAGTTCCCTCCATCGTGACTCGAACTTTAGCAAGTGCGGCTTGCGCGGTACACCGAGCTGTGTGCGTATATGGGACCAGCGCATTGAAATTCTCGTGCAGTTCCGGATTGCTTTTTACCCCGAGGCGGTAGGGGAGGAATATACGGAGGAGATGAAAAGTACGCAAGGGAGTGCAATCAGTACTGGCCATAGGCAGGTGAAGCGACATTTAACATGTTGCTCTAGAAGAACGTGTTACTGGGTCTGAACAGACGAATCAATTGAAAAAAGGGGAGAGATACGGAGAAGGCAGAGTCCCAGAGAAGTTTCATCGCAAGGTGGTGGTTGGCGTGCTGTAGCTCAACATTACTTTTCAATGCTCAGTGCGATTAAGTCCGTCGTGTCAGAGCAATCGTACAAATGCAAGTTTTTTTATTTATTTATTTATTTATTTATTTATTTATGCGTAATTACAACGCGCTCAAACAAAACAAAGTAGCAAAGCGGAGTGAGCAATTTCAGAACCAAACAATAAACAAAAATCAATAAACAAAAATAAAATCCAAAACAAGATCCGTATAAAAAAATTCATGTGCAGTAAAATTACAGGCAGTTGCACTGAGAGGTCGTAAAGAATCAACCGAAGCAGCTCTTAGTTGCTCAAAAGGATGGAGTTGCATAATTAACTAGGCGGAAGGAGAGGAGTCAGAGGAGAATATTTGGCAAAGATGCCCTAGACCATAAAGAAGGTAATGAAAGAACGGTATCGTAGCGATCATAGAGGCTTGCTCACAAGATACTAGTAACCAGTGACGAAGCTACTGTCCGCACCAGCTGGTCACAGTGCCCTTAGCGCCACATGAGGGGTCATGGGGGTATGCCGGCACTTCGAGACACGGGTATACCAGCAGCCCACGTGGAACCGGCATACTGGACAGAAGCCACAAAACAGGGTTACTAGACCCCGAGCCTTGATCAGAGCCGACATTGCAAGAAGATGAACTCCATGAATGAAGAGGGGGTATGAGCAGAGAGAACTGGATAAACTCCTCCTCTTGATCAACCAAACAGAAGAAGGAAGTCTCAGGGCAACTGGTGAAGGAAAAAAAACTATTACTATGATATCTGACGAAATCCCTCAACGAATAAAGGTGCTAGGAAAATAGAGCTGCTAAAATTCTAACAGACTAAGCGTCCAACAGAGAATCGAAAGAATGAATACGTGATAATACATGATGCTAAACGCTAGATAGCTGTAAAAACCGCTGACAGTAGTAGAACCGCTAACATCCAGTTAAGTCAGCATCAAGTTCCAGCTGTGGCTTATAGGCACCAGCGAAGGGAGTCTCCAGTGACGCGCACAACAGCTGACACGGAAGGGAGGAACATTACTGAAAAGGAAAGAGCTACACTATGTCATGTGGAGGAATTCAGAATTTGACCAAGATTCACCTTGTTTAATCTTCTTTTAAACGAAGAACTACTGACTGATCCAAGTATTTCTGGGGGTAGCGAATTCAACCATCTAGCACATCGGTAAAATATGACATTCAGCGTTAAAGCACGATGTCTAGGGCCAACGCGAGGGTAGTCCAGGTTAAACCCACCTCGCCTACCTCCAACTGGTCTGAAGAGCCAGTACTTACTGCAGCGGAGTTTAGATTCCCTACGAAGGACACGAAAGCAGAAGACTAAATCAGCAATCACCCGCCTAAACTGTAAAGATTTCATTGAAAACACATTTAGGCGCTCTTCATAACTGGGCAAATCACTGCGACCAGTGTTACGCGTAATTCGGTACCAAAGGAGGCGGGTGAACACACGCTGAACCCTTTCAATTTTACTGATATACTTCTTAATATAAGGGCTCCAGATCTGTGAGCAATATTCGAGATGAGGCAGTACATAGGCCTTATATAGACGAGTGAGCACTGCCGCATCCGAAGATTGCACATTACGGAAAAGCGCGAATAAGTTGGTGAAAGCTTTCTCTACGGCTTGGTTTATGTGAGAGTAGAAGTTCAGCTTTGAGTCAAAAAGGACACCAAGATCCATAGCAGACTGACACATTGTAAGCTTAATGTCGTTGATGTAAAAATCAGCCGGACCAAGATTCCCAATGTGCATAACCGAACACTTATTCAGGTTGAGTGGGATATCCCAATGAGAAGCCCATTCAACCATTCTATGAATAGAAAGTTTCAAAGCACCGCGTACAGCTGTATAGTTGGTTCGATCAAGAACTCCATAGAGTTTTGATATCATCCGCATACATTTGAACTGTAATGTCAGGGCAAGTTTTAAGAAGATTAGGTAGCTCCATAGTGTAGATTAAGAACAATAGCGGGGATAACACACCACCCTGTGGGACCCCGCTCCCACAAAGGTACCTCTTGGAGAAACTAGTCTTGATTCTAACAGTCATGTGCCTGTCATAAAGATATGAAGTTAGCCAAGCTAAGAGTTTCCCTCGAATTCCCACTTGTTCCAATTTGGCCAGTAGTTTGTGGTGGCAAACCTTGTCGAACGCCTTTGAAAGGTCAATATAGACAACATCAATCGATTTGCCTTCATTAAGTGCCTTACAAAAGTCAAACAAAGTATCTGCAAGATTAGTACAGGTAGATAAGCCTGGAATGAAACCGTGTTGTTCTTGAGGTATTAAACGGAGTCTTGTGAGCCAAGCCAACAACCTTTCATTTATAATTTTCTCCATCACCTTAACAGGAGTGGGAGCAAGGCTGATTGGGCGGAAGTTGCTCAGTGTGGATAACTTGGGGGACTTCTGAATAGGAGTGATAATAACATCTTTCCAGAGCTGAGGGACATCTTCTGTTAGTAAGGAGAGATTAAACATGATAGCCAGAGGCTTACACAGCGAAAAGTAACATTTTTATAAACTATTTGTGGGATCCCATCATAAGGTTCACTAGTTGAGGGATGAGCTTTTTTAGGATCATGGAAACCGCGTAAGGATCAAAGAAAACCTCCGTGAGACTATCATTAACATGTGGGAAGCACGCGAGGTTCCATTCATGAGAGAAATTGGACGTGAAAATACTAGAGAAATGGTTAGAGTGCCTCTGCTTTGTCCGCGTCACTACGGTAAACCCTACCCGTGTGGTCAGATAGTGTGGGGAGTAACTGGTTTGGCTTCAGCTTGCGCCGAAAGTAATGGAAAAGCCGTTGTAAGGAAGCATGGGATCCAAGCCGGCGCTCATAGTTAGCGAGGAACTTTCTCAAATGGTGATCTAAATCAGAACAAACTTTTCTATAAGGTGCGCTTCCGAGAGGAGAGCTTAACTCAGAGAAGAGGCGTTGCTTTTGCTGGAGTAAGTTAGTTATATGACGAGGATACTTAGGACCAGATCCACTAACGGATTTGAATGGAACCGTTTTAGCAAGCCCGCTGTAAACCACCCCACAGAATCGCTGGTATATGTCATCCATCGAGGAATACTGATCAAAAAGTGCCCACCAATCCACGCCTAAGAAGAAGTTGTTGAGGGCAGCAAAGTCAGTGCTCAAGAAATCTGGTCTAGGAACATGGCAATGGGAACTAGACTCTTCAAGAAGATCGAAGGAAACAACGTTATGATCTGACGTAGCTAGCGGAGGTAGTACTGAAACATTCGAGATGTTATGTGACGTGGAAAGTATGAGGTCAAGGACCTTTCCATTATGGGTGGGTTGCATAACATGCTGTCTGAGGCCAGACACACGGAAGAAGTTCATGTAAGCAGCAGCAGCAGAATTCAGAGCTCTCGAACTACTCCAGTCAACTTGGAGATTGAAGATCTCCAAGGACCACAGTGCTCGAGCGCACTGCCACAAGATCACCGAGCACTTCAATCAGGGCATCATCATCAGCTTTGGTCGAATTCGGAGGGCGGTATATCGTAATGATGCGGACATAGTAGGACCTCGTCTGGAAAAACAGATCCACGCAGAGTCCGTCGGCCTTTCCAGCTTTAATGTGAGTCACA